ATTTATTTATTTATTTATTTATTTATTTATTTATTGGTCTTTTTGAGACAGGGTCTCGCTATGCAGTTCAGGCTGGCCTTGAGCTCACTTTGTAGTCCAGGCTGGTCTCAAACTTGCAATGATTCTCCTGCCTCAGCCTCCTTGAGTACTGGGATTACAGGTGTGCACCACCATGCCCAGCTAATTGTTTTATTTTAATAAACACCTAGAAATTGCACATATTTATGGAATACAATATGATATTTTAATATATATGCAGCATGTCTGTCACCTCAAACATTTGTCATTTCTTTGTAGTAAGAACACTCAAAATTCTCTTCTAGCCAGGCACAGTGGCACACACCTGTAATCCCAGCTACTCAAGAGGCTAAGCCAGGAGATGGAAAGTTCAGTGCCAGCCTGGGCAGTTTAGCGAGACCGTCTGTCAAAATCAAAACTAAAAACGGCTGGAGTTATAGCTCAGTGCTCCCTGGGGTTCAAGCTCCTTTAACACCAAAAAAATTGTCTCCTGTAGCTATTTTGAAGTATGCAATAAATTATCAACTATAATCACCCTGTTCTGCTGTGGTACACTGCAAATTATTTCTCCTTGCCAGGCATAGGGGCATAGGCCTGTCATCCTATGCAGTGAATACAAGAACAGCTTGAACTACATAACAAGAACCTGTCTCAAAAGAAAAAAGAAGAAATTATTCTTCCTATGTAACTGTCAGTTTATACTTGTTAACCAAGCTTTCTTGTGCCTCTTTCCCCTTACCCAGCTAGCTGCTTTGTAGTCAGTTTGTTTCCCCATAACTTTCATACTTCTTAGGTAAGCCCCCTTATAGGAGCCTATAAGCCTCTATTGTATAGTAACCCCACTTTGCTTAATGCTTTTTGTTTGTTTGTCCCACAGTACTGGGGATTGAATCCAGGGCCTTTGCACAGAGCTATATTCCCAGCCCATTTTTGTTTGGGGCAAAGGTTGGAAACAGGGTGTCGCTATGTAGTTAGGGCAGGTCTTGAATTCACTATGTAGCAGAGGATAGCCTTAAAGGATAGCCTTAAAGTAGCAGCGATCATCCTGCCTCAGCCTCCCAAGTGTTGGGATTATAGGGGTGCACCACCAAGCCTGGCTTTGAGCCCTTTTTAAATTTTTTATTTCAAGACAGTGTCTCACTAAGTCACTGCATTGTCCGGGCTGGGTTCAAACTTTCAATACTGTCTGTCACCTCCCAGAGTGCTAAACGGCTCCAGGCATGTACTGCCACGCCTGCCTACTAAATATACCTTAGTAGTTAATACCAAAATATGTCTAGTTAAGCAAGAATATGTTTATCTCATCTAATTTGAATATCACCTGTTTAATATAACCTACTTAAAGTAAATTAAAAAATTAAGAGTCAGGGGGACATAGCTCAGCAGCATAAGTGCCTGCCTGGCAAGTGCAAGGTCCTGAGTTCAGTTCCTGGTACCAAAAAAAAATTAAGAATCAGGTATGGTAGCACATGCCTTGGAGCCTGAGGGAAGAGGATCTCCATGAGTTAAAAGCAAGCCTGGACTACACAGAGTTGAAGGCCACCCTGAGCTGTAGAGCAAGACCCTGTCTCAAAAACCAACAAAAAGAATTAATAGCATAATTTAGGCTTTTAAAGTATCATTTATATTTCTTTCAGGTAGATTTTCTAGTGTAAAAACTTTTTATGGAAGTCAGTATCAGCCAGGTGTGATGGGGCATACCAGTAATCCCAGCACTCTGGAAGGCTGAGGCAGGAGGATCACAGGCCTGGGCAAAGTAGTGACTTAGCAAGACCATGTCTCCAAATAGAATTTTTTTTTTTTAAGCCTGGGGAGGTAGCTCTGTGTAAAGGTTGTGGGTTCAATCCCTAGTACTGCCAAAACAACAACAGAAGTATCAATGATTAAACAACTGGGATCTGATCTCATTAAAAAGCTTTTGCACAACAAAAGAAACCACCAACAGAGTAAAGAGACAACCCACAATGTGGGAAAAATGTTTGCCAGCTGTTCCTCACACAAAAGATCACTATGGAGAACATATAAAGAACTCAACAAAATCAGACCTCCCAAATTTACAGAGCCAATCCAAAAATGGGCATCTGAAATGAATACATACTTCTCAAATGAAGAAATACAGACAGCAAGTAAATATATGGAAAAATGTTCAATATCACTGGTCATTCAAGAGATGAAAATTAAAACAACTCTGAGATTCCATCTCACCCCAGAAAGAATGGCTATTATCCAGAAATCAACCAGTAACAAATGCTGGAGGGGCTGTGGGGAAAAAATGCACCCTTCTCCACTCTTGGCCAGGAGTGTAGACTGGAGCAACCACTGTGGAAATCAGTGTGGAGATTCCTCAAACCTAGGATTAGAGGTCCCGTTTGACCCAGCTATTCCCCTGCTGGGTATCTTCCTAGAAGAATTCAAAACATCACACCACAGCAATATATGTGCACCCATGTTTATAACAGCACAATTTGTAATAGCTAGATCTTGGAAACAACCCAAATGCCCATCAACTGAGGAATGGATAAAAAAGATGTGGTCTTTTTAAACAATGGGGTACTACTCAGCCATAAAGGATGAACTGGAGACTTTTAGAGGTACATGGACACAACACGAAACCATACTCGTAAGTAGAATAAACCAGACGCACATGTGTAGACATCGTATTGTCTTGTTAGTGTGAGAAGCTGAAAGAGTAAATAAGATCCAAAATGTACAATAGATATTGTGAAATGGGAAGAAACTATTCAGAAAGAAAGAGAAACTGGGATGGGGGAAGGGAGAAAAGAAGGGAAAAGAAAAAAAAAAAATATATATATATATATAAAAAGAGTTAAAAGAGTTATAAGAGAGTTATACTACTAAAGTTTTACTATTAATTTCTCTTAGTTCATTGAAAAGAAAGGTTTGCGGGCTGGGGATTTAGCTCAGCAGCAAAGCGCCTGCCTGGCAAGCGCAAGGTCGTGAGTTCGGTTCCTGGTACCGAGAAAAACCAAAAAACCAAAAAAAAAAAAAGAAAGAAAAGAAAGGTTTGCTTGGACAATTAAATACCTATATCTTGTACTCTGAGTAACTAATTTAAAGATAACAATATGCAATGTAGGGCTGAGGATATAGCTCAGTGGCACAAGTGCCTGCCTGGCAAGCACAAGGTCCTGAGTTTGATTCCTGGTATCAAACAAAACAAAACAAAGCAAAACAAAACAGTATGCAATGTATTAACCATTGTTACTCTCCTAATATCGTGTTTTGAAATTTTGTTTTAGTTTTTTCTTTAAAATAAAATTTAAATTTTTTTAAAGTATTAGTGATTAGATGCTTAATAATGTATTAAATTTTTTGAAAGCATAGATGATGCTTTTCAGTTATTATATTTACATTCTTTAAATGATTTCTCTTAAGATGGCAGCGGAGAGAAGATTGATGTTATTCGCATTCTGATTGGAATCATTGCTGGGGGAACACTTCTGGTTACGTGTGGACTATGTTTGTATTATGTATGCATAACCAAGCGTAAGAGACAACCACACGCAGGGTAAGTACCAAGTAAAACTATTTAATTCATCATTGGACATTCTATATTGTTATTTCTAAATAAATCAAATGCTTATTTTTAAATGAACTTTTATTTTGAAATAAATTTAGATATACAAGAAGGTTTCAAAAGTATTACAGAGAGTTCCCATGTATCCTTTAACCAGTCTCCCCACATCATGACCATCTTACGTTACCATAGGCGAGTTGTCAGAACTAGGAAAACAATGTTTGTTCATCCGCATTAGCTGGACTTCAGACTTTATTTCAGTCTTACCAGATTTTACATTAGCTTCGTCATTCTGATCTGAGAGCCAGTCAGTCTGCCACATTGCACTGCGTTGTTTTATCTTCTCTGGCCCCTCTAGTGTGATGGTTGTTTGTGGCTTATTTTAACACATGTATTAACAACTGAGTGATGTTATTATTAAGGGTCCTTCAGAAGAGTACAAGTGTCAGCTTCATTTGTCAATATTTTCTTCTGAGCAAGAGGCAGACGTCGGTGTCCCCACATTAATTACCAGTATTTCCAAGAAGCAAAAAGTCCCTTAATCACTTGGAATCAGACTTAACCAATTTATGTTACTACTCAGATAGAAACAAAATAACTGGCTTATTTTTGTTTTTCTGGTGCTGGGGATCAAACCCAGGCAGGGCCTTGCCCATGCTAAGTGCTCTACAGCTGAGCTACAACCCCCACCCTGACTTTTTAATTCAAATATTTTTATTGATACTTGATTAATCAATTTTTTGCAGTGCTGGGAATACTTTAAATTAAACAAAAATTAATAAAATAAAATAGTTACCAATTGAGAATAGTGTGCATTAACAAAACTGATAAATATTCCTAAAGGCCATAATTTTGTGCATAGGGGGCTGGGGATTTAGCTTAGTGGCACAGCGCCTGCCTGGCAAGCGCAAGGTCATGAGTTTGATTCCCTGTACTGGGAAACAAAACAAACAATCAAAAAACCAAAACACAAGTATTAGGGGCTGGGGATTTAGCTCAGCGGCACAACGTCTGCCTGGCAAGCGCGAGGTCATGAGTTGGATTCCTGGTACCGGAAAAAAAGCCAAAAAGAAAAAAAAAAACAAAAACAAAAACATAATTTTGTGCATAATAGGACCTTAGCATTTTAACTGAGATAAAATGTGCTAATTATGTTCCCAGTGAGTATAGATGAGGAGATGCACAAACAGTATTCAAAAGGATCACCAGGTGCTAAGTAGGATATCGGAGATTGATGCTTTAATATCTTACTCATACTGTGAAGTTCTGTGAGCAAGTTCATGGTGCTGAGCAACTAACTTACTTTTTATGGTAACTTAGTCATTTATCTTTTCAGCAAAATTAGCAATGTTTTTGTATTCATAGAATAGAAGAGAATAGAATGGAATGGAATGGAAAAATTTTAGCAGTATTGAGGGTTCAGCCCAGGAAGCACTGAGCTACGACCCCAGTAGTTGGACTACAGGTGTGTGCCACCACACTTGGTAAAAATATTATTTTTCCTATCTAGAGGAAGATTATTTGTCTTCTAAATGGAAGATAACTTTCAAACTGTGTCAAGCCAAATTTAAATATAAAACCACTGGCCTGGATTTTTCAACAAGTATCAGTGTTATGAAAGACAAAGAAAAACTGAGAAACTAAAAGTACTATAGATGATGTGATAATTAATGCTGAGTGTAATATTTCACTGGATCCTAGACCAGAAAACTAAAATATTGTAAAGGAAAATTTGGGGACAAATTGAAAATGGACTAGATCTCAGATAATAGTATTAAATCAGTGTTGAATTTCCCTGAAAACTATGTGCAGATCTTTTCAACATATGTAAAAAATATATAATAGTTCCGGGGCCAAGGATATAGCTCAGTGGCACAAGTGCCTGCCTGGCAAGCACAAGGTCCTGAGTTCGATTCCTAGTACCAAAAAACAATAATAATAATAGCCAGGCATGGTGGCGCATGCCTGTAATCCCAGCACTCGGGAGGCTGAGGCAGGAGAATCGTTGTGAGTTCAAGACCAGCCTGGGCTACAAAGTGAGCTCAAGGCCAGCCTGAACTGCCTAGTGAGACCCTGTCTCAAAAAGACAAAAAAAACAAAAAACAAAACCAAAAATAGTAGTAATAATAAAATTTAAAAAATAATAATTCCAAAATGTAATTGGCTATAATTTAAAAATTGGCTGTAAAAATACCTAGTGAAAACCAGACAGCATCAAAAGTTGTATTTAGGGCTAGGGTAGCACAGTGGTAGAATGCTTACCTAGCATGTGAAAAAAAAAAAAAAAAGAAAGTTCTCAGGACCAGGGATCGAACATAGAACCTTGCACTGGCTAGACAAGTACTCCACCACTGAGCTACACTCCCAGTTCTAACTGATTAAATATTTAGAACTTTGTTCATTTTAAAGGAGGCTTGTACAACTCTTCAAGTCTAAATACAATGTAAATATAAACCAATGGAAAACCAGAAGGGCTTAATTACAGGGGTTCAAATTAATTAGGGTAAGGCTGCTCTTAATTATTTCCTAACAGATATAAGGGAAAAATAGAATAACTTGTTAAGAGGGACAGTTCTCATGTTAAATCTGCCACTATTTAACTATAGGTCTTTATTAGTAGTAGTATTAGGGTTTGAACCTAGACCTTCACACTGAGGGTTTTTTTGAGACAGAGTCTCCCTAAGTCACTAAGTTGCCCAAGCTGGGCTCAAACTTGTGATCTTCCTGCCTCAGCCTTCCAAAGTACAAGGATTACAGGTGTGTACCATAACTCTTGGCTTTAACTACAGATTTTAAAGTAAGTTTCTTGATTTTTTTTTTTAGTTTCCTTCATCTATAAGATGAAGGGAATGGCTCTGACTACTCTTAAACTCATTTTCTTTTACCAAGGACAAGAACAAACTGCATGTCTTTTATTATTAGTTTGTCAGAATTAAAATTTTCAAAGTTACTTACTCTAAAAACTTTCTTTTGGTTCTTTTTGGGGGTTGTTTGTTTGTTTTTTGGCTTTGAGCTCACTCTGTAGTCCAGGCTGGCTTTGAACTCATGGTGATCCTCCTGCCTCAGTCTCATGAGGAGTGCTGGGATTACAGCCAGGCGCCACATACCACATCTATAAAGGTGTGCACCTTTTACATATGGAGCTAAATGAAATTTAAAAGTATAAAAGATACATTTTCTCTAAAACTCATTAATAGTGTTTTCTCTTGGAGAAAGTTAGATTTTTCATCTGCATGGGTCACTTAAAAATTCTTTTCATTGCTATGAAAGCATCTGAAAATGTATTGATAATGAAGGTTAAGGTCTTCAAAGAAATTTTTTGCCTATAAAGATAATATATGCATTATTTAAAACTTTGGGGCTGAGGATATAGCTCAGTGGGCTCTGGACTTGATCTCTAGCATGCCCCCCCCCAAAAAAACACCAAAATTGAATATTATAGAAGGATGTAATATTGAAATTTAAAATATCCATAATCCTACTTTTCAGAAATAGCCATCATTATGTTTGGTATGTATTACTTCAGATTTTTTTTCTAAATATATAATAACATATTATGTTTTAAAAAGAAATTTCCATTATATGTCCCCTTTTGCAACTGACCTTTGGCACTTAACAATGTAACTTAAATATATTTCCAGTGTAACACTTTTAAAAAATTGTAAAACACTCCTTCCATGAAATTCACCATGTTAGCTAGAATGTGGTGGCACACATCTGTAATCTGAGCACTCTGGGATGCTGAGTCAGGAGGGTGAGTTTGAGCCCAGTCTGGGAAACTGAGCAAGACCCTATCTCTGAAAAAGAAAAAAAGAAAAGACAAGAATAGAAAAGGGGGAGGGGGCTGGGGATTTAGCTCAGTGGCACAACACCTGCCTGGCAAGTGCAAGGCCGTGAGTTCGATTCCCGGTACCGGAAAAAAACCAAAAACCCTAAAAAAAAAAAAAAAAAAATGGGTGGGGGGGGTGAGAGGGGCAAAAAAAAGGGGGACAAGAGCTAAAGATGTAGCTCAGTGGAAAGGCCCTGAGTTGAATCCACAGTACTGCAAGAAAATATGATTTTCACTTTTTTTTTCTCCTGTACTGGGCATTGAACTCTGGGGCATTTTATTACTGAGCCACGTATTTACAGCCTTTTTTATTTTATTTTTTATTTTATTGGTGGCACTGGGGACTGAACCCAGGGCCTTAGCACTAAGCTACATTTCTAGACCTTTTTAGTTTGAGATAGGATCTTGCTAAATTGCTGAACTGCCCAGCCTGGGCTGAAATTTGCAAGCCCCCTGCCTTAGTCTCCAAGAGTGCTGGGATTACAGAAGTACAGTTCCATGTTTGGTTTTTTTTTTTATTTTGAGATAGATGTTTAAGACTGTGGAAGACATTCTTTGATTAGAATGCACTGAGGGCACAATGATTTATTATTTGCTAGAGTTTCTTGAGATAAGGCTTCATTATACAGCCCTGTGTCTTGGATTACCTGGGGACAAGGGTAATCCTTTAATTATCCTTGCTAAAAAAAGTTTGGTATTCACCCATTTGTACTAGCTACACCCTTGGTTCTCATTCAATAAAAGGTGACTGAAATTGGTATTCAAGGCTGCAGTCCAAGAGGCTGTACACCCCCTGATCCCAGACTTCTACTTCTCTTGTTTTTCTTGTATCTCTTTACTTTTTCTTGTTCATCCACGGGTACCTTGTTCTCAGGACCTGTCCCTTAAGATAGAACAACATAAGACCAGAAGTGTTTTAGATGTAGGACTTTTTAAAATTTTAGAATGTTTGCTTTTTTTTTTTTTTTTTTTTTTTTGGTTTTTCTTTGGTACCGGGAACCGAACTCACGACCTTACGCTTGCCAGGCAGGCGCTTTGCCGCTGAGCTAAATCCCCAGCCCGAATGTTTGCATTTGTATAATGAGATATCTTGGGGATGAAACACAAGTCTAGATAGAGAATCCATTTATGTTTCATATACGTCTCATGCACATAGCCTTGAGGCAGTTTTACACACTATTTTTAGCCCATCTGTGTTTTGACTGTGTCCCTTTGATGGAGATCAGGTGTGGAATTTTTCACTCAGCACATCATCTCAGTGATCAACAGTTTATGGCTTTGGAGCAGGTTGGATTTTAGATTTTTGCATTAGGAATGTTCATCCTGTCCTACCAAGACATAGGCTGGAAATGATAACCAAAGAGTCTCAACCAAAGATCTATCCTTTGATGAGAGTAGTGAGTAACAGAAAACTATGAGCGAATTGGAGCATAGGCCATGAGGAGTTTACACTGGAGCTACTAGTCATGGTAACAGGGCTGTGGCTGGGGTTCAGTGGTAGAGCTCTTGCCTTGCATACACAAGGCCCTGGGTTCATTCCCTAGTACCACCATTTAAAAAAAAAAGATTTTGGGGATGCGTCAAGCGCAAGGTGGTGAGTTAGGCTGCCGGTACCGGAGAAAAAAAAAAAAAAAAAAAAAAAAAAAAAAAAAAAACAACCATGGTGACAGTGTGGTACTCAAGGAGATTAAAAGGAAACCTGGCCTTCAGGAAAAGTTGAGAAAACTTAGTGTCTTGGTTACTTTTCTCTCTCCTTGCTGAGACAAAATACCTCACACCCAGAATTAAGGAAGGAAAGGTTTATTTAGCTTGCAGTTTGTGGAGATTTCAGTCCATACTCAGCTGGCTCCAAGGCAGAGTGGCACATGGCAGACGGCAACAGTCATGGCAGCGGAAGACAGCAAAAGCAGCAACAGCAAAAGGGGGAAGCAGCCGGGTGTGGTGGCGCATGCCTGTAATCCCAGCACTCGGGAGGCTGAGGCAGGAGGATCGTTGCAAGTTCAAGACCAGCCTGGGCTACAAAGTGACCTCAAGCCCAGCCTGAACTGCATAGCGAGACCCTGTCTGAAAAAGACAAAAAAAAAAGTTCTGATAAAAGGGGGAAATGGCAGCGGCAAGCAGCCCCTTTCCCTCCCTTACACTGTATGCAAACTACCCGCCCCAGGGCAGGCATAGCACTCACATCCATAATTCCAACCTTGGACCTTAGGCCATAAATCAATCATAAACTCTAGAAGCCCACCCGATGACTGCATTAGGCTTTGGGGGGACATCCAAATACAAACCATAACACCTAGATATGCTAGGTGGTAGGAACATGGTGACTGGAAGAGACGTGGTGCTGGCCTCAGTGGAGAGTGCACTGAGGTTTACCTAGGCAGCGTGTACTACAGCGCGAAAAAGGTGGAGTACAAGGGAAGCCACCGAGGATGCCAGGGTGAGGCTTCAAGTGTGAGGCCACAAGTGTGGACTTGTTTTTGAGGAAAAAGATGCTGTAGGACTTCATGCCCAATACCAAGAACTAAGGGTTGTTAGAAGAATGTGAGGTGAACCTAAGCGTCTGAGCTGATACAATGCACATGAAAACCAGGAGGAAGAAGACAAAATTTGGATCTGACTGTACAATGCCATGGATTTTAAAGATAGCTCAACAAAAGAATAAAATCATGTACCAGATGACCTGGTTTTAAAAGAGATAAAGGACTTGAATTTTCATTTCCGCAAAGAGATATAAAAGGCTAACAAATACTTGAAAAGATGCCCCATATTATTAGTCATTAGGGAAATATAAATCAAAGCAGAACCACAGCAAGATACCACCCAGTGAGATTATCATCCTGGCGTAGCATGATAATACTTTTTATAAGCATCAAATATTGTGATGATTTAGAGAAATTCGAACCCCATATGTATGTTCCTGGTGGGATGTAGACTGGTACAGTTGTTGTGGCAAACAGTTTGACAATTCTTCAGAAAATTAAGTGTAGAGTTACATGCGAACCAGTAGTTTGGTTTTTTTTTTGTTTTTGTTTTTTTTGGTACTGGGAATCAAACTCAGGACCTTGTGCTTGCCAGGCAGGTGCTTATGCCACTGAGCTATATCCCCAGCCTGTGACCCACTCGTTTTTAAAGGACAAATTCACTGATGTAGTTTGGAAAAGCTTATGGCATTTTGAGTCTCTAAACTTAAATGGGAAGAATGTTATAACCGTTGACTACAGGTTGGTCAATATTATGAATTTTAATTATCTCATTAGCCATATGTACAGGAGGTCAATTTATGCATGGATAGTTTATAGACAGCCAACTTCAGTCTAAACAGATTCATTTACTGGTGTTTAAATGATAGTTCAAGCTGATCCTGGTGGCGCACACCTGTAATCCTAGCACCGGAGAGGCTGAGGCAGGAGGATTGTTGCAAGTTAGAGACCAGCCTGGGCTACAAAGTGATTTCAAGGCCAACCTGAACTGTATAACAAGACCCTGTCTCAAAAAGACTAAATAAATAAATAAATAAATAAATAATTATAGTTTGAGGTTGAGGAGTGTAGTACAGTGGTAGAGTGCTTGCCTAGCATGTTCTAGGGTTTGATCCCCCACACCAGTTAATTAATTATAGTTTTCAATTCAAAAATGAGAAGACAAAAACAAAGTTGCATTTCAACTTCCATTGCTGTCAAGGTTTTATAAAACTAGTGGGACTTGAACTAGCACTCTCTCTCTCTCTCTCTCTCTCTTTCTGTATATATGTTTTGCTAAGAAATAAATCCAAGACTTGTGCACACTAGGCAAGTCCTCTATCACTGAACACTATCTTCTCTATATAGAAGATATATATGTTGTTGTAAAATTTAGAACTCTGGGTATTTCTTGTTTTAAAAGCAAGATTAATTACACAGTGTTGGTCCAGTGTAATGCTGTATATATAGTTAGTTCATAGCCCTACTTTGCCCAACCTTGCCAATTTTTTTCAGAACTAGAGATTAAACCCAGTACCTTGCACATGCTAAGCAACCTACTCTACCACCAAGCTACATCCATAGCCCTAAACTAAGACAAGTTTTTTAAAAATTGCTGCTATTGCTGCTGCTGCTGCTGCTGCTGCTGTTGTTGTTGTTGTTGAGCTTAGATCAGTGGAAGAGGAAAAGACAACATTCCAAGAAAAATAATACCAGCAAAATACAAAGAAGGGCCGGAGAATTCACTGCACACAGAGTGGAGGGTAAAGAAACTGCCTGGGCAAGAGCAGAAGGCTATAAAAAAATAAGGCGAGGCCAGAATAAGGGAGGCTTCAAAAAGGAGGCTCAGGAGTTAGAACCGACTCAGTGAAAAGCAGGTTGCAGTTAGAATCTGAGGAGGTGAGTGATGTAATGACAGCGCTGTCTGGGAAGGATCGACCAGATGGCAGGACCGCCAGAAGGGACAGAGGACAGGGACAGGCATTAGCTGTTGTGATTATCTCTGTGGCACCTGCTTGCTGGGTTTGGGGTTATGCCACTTTCAACAAAGCCTGCGTTTGGTTTCACATGATACTTTGAGAAAGTTTTCACTCAGGAGCTGGAGAACAAGGAATTCACACATTTCGAGTCCTTATTATGTAGGGTGCCAGACACTGCTTGAAGCTTTACATACAGCATCATACGCAGCCCACCCAGGACAACTCTGTAGAGGTGTCTATTATTATGCCCATTTTAGAGAGGAGGAAACAGAGTCAGGTCATGACATTAGTCAGAGTCAGATTTCAAACCCGTGTCTGACTTCCAGCTGTAAAGCTGCTTTTCATTATTAATGAATTGGTTTCATAAATAGTTGGATTCTTAATCCAAAACGTTGCCTTTCTTAGACCTAAATACTGTCTCTGTGTTTAGTTGTTCAGTCGCCTATGTAAGAAATGGCAGCTTTTCCATCAATCTCAGAAGACCTGAGGAGGCTATCCTGTCTCCATCGGTGCCATCTTTGGAGGACACTGGATTACCTTCCTACGAGCAGGCAATGGAACTGAACAGAAAACACAACGTTTCACCGCCACCACCTTATCCTGGGCTGGCAAAAGGATTTAGGGTATTTAAAAAGTCTATGTCACTCCCATCTCACTAAGCCCACCCTGCCAACTCAATATAAGAAATTCATGTTATTCAAATGGTTTATTCTCTCACCCAAAAAAGGACACTGGCTATTCAGCTCTTTGCAATAAACTGCAAGCAATAAAGGAGGAATAAGCGTATGAATGGTATCATAGTTTCATTTACATCTTGGACCCAACCTTGATCATTGTATCTTGACAAGAGACTTTGACTTTATCCACACAGTTAAGAAGAAAGCACTTTTTTTTGTAATGTATATTCTAATGGTTCAAAAATCTTTGTTATGGATCCCTACAGCCAGAGAATTATTTGCACCCTTTGTACAGACAAAGATTGTAGAGTTCTTGTGTTGAATATTTTAAAAGTTAGAATTTTAATCTTCCATAATATCCCAAATTATGATATTATACTTTTTATTAAATTTGGGGGTTTGGAAACACTTCACAGAATTTGACATTTCACTATAAATCTGTGGCCTTTGAGTAATCACTTGGTTTTATATTTTACATTATTATGTAACATTTACTATATTTTACAGGCTTTGGTTCTTAACTTGTCAGCCTTGTTTCATTATAACAAGCAGGATCAGTTGTTTTCTTTTTCTAAAAAATATTATTTACTGTGAGGTTAGTTTTTCAGATGCTACTGAGTTGAAATGGTGAGGATTTACAAAGATTGTGTTATCAATGAATGGGCCTGTCACCCAAGAATTATTAGAACTGATAAAGTTACTTATGTTACTGATGAGTATATACCCCATGATATTACTAAATTATCTATATCTATACCTATATCTATTTATATCTGTATATAACTACGGTATGTATATGTGAATTTATTCTTTTAAGGAGATTAAAAAATAATGTGCCCCTAAAAAGTAGAATAGGAAATTCTGTTCTGTATGATTTTGCCAGGTACTACATTTTTCGTGTTATTTAAAATCATTTGGAAAATGTTTTGTTCTATAAGTTTTACAGAGATGTGATTGAAAACCTACATGCATTGGATAATTCCTACTAAATTAAGTTTTTAGAAAGTATATGTCAGCCGGGTATGGTGGTGCACACCTGTAATCCCAGCACTCAGGAGGCTGAGAAGCAAGAGGATCCTTGCAATTTTGCTTTCCTTTCTTTTCTCTCTCTCTCTCTTTTTCCCTTACGTACTAGGGGATTGAACTAAGGGCCTTTACACTGAGCTATATCCCCAGCCCTTTTTTTTTTTTTTTGTATTTTGAGACAGGGTCTCACCAAGTTGCTGAGTTATCCAGGCTGGGTTCAACTTTGTGATCCTCCTGCCTCAACCTCCCAGAGTGCTGGGATTACACGCATGTGCCAACACATTTGGCTATGGTCTGTCTTTTAAGGTAGTATGATCTTCATTAAGGCAGATAAAAGTAAGCCTTAAAAATTAGATACTGCAAAAGACTTTATACTTTTAAATTCTGAGAGTCTCTGGTGGCTTGTCATACATATATATATATATGTATATATATATATATATATTTTTTTTTTGCGGTACTGGGGATCGAACTCACCACCTTGCGCTTGCCAGGCAGGCGCTTATGCCACTGAGCTATATCCCCAGCCCCGGCTTGTCATATATAAATCATATAATGACATATAGGTTTAATGAGGAAAGATGATTTTTTTAACCTACCTACATCACCTATAAAATTTGCTATTAGTCATCTCTTGACTTTTCATAAGCATTTGTTCTCTAATAACTGTGCACTTTACACTTATGTTAACCCTCTTTTTTTTTTTTTTTTTGGTTTTTCTCTGGTACCGGGAACCGAACCCACGACCTTGCGCTTGCCAGGCAGGCGCTTTTGGCCGCTGAGCTAAATCCCCAGCCCCTTGTTAACCCTCTTTAAAAGGTTACAGAGTTGATTTTACTCAAACTAAGGCATAACTGGAATCTAACAAATCTAACAAATTCCATTTATGCCATTCTAAACCCTGGTAGGAGCTGAGTTTAGAAGAAACAAACACACTTTTCTAGTCCCATCTCATACCTATAGAATTCTACTGCCTCTAATTATAACCCAGGGATCTTGTTACTTAATTCTAAATCCATGATGGAAATTTATAAGCATTTCTCATATATATATATATATATATATATATATATATATATACTCACACATATGTGAAAAATATTTAGGTAAATAGAAATGAAAGATATATGTGTATCTTTTATGGGATCATAACTTGAAATAGTCCATGAACTAATTTACTGCTGTTGACTCCCAGAAGTCTAAAACTATAAAAATAGCTTCGGAACCTGTGACAACCCCCACCCTATCCCCCAACAGCAGCCTAGTCTGTTGTGTCTGCCATCATTTAGTGCCAAACAGATGCTATAATTTGAATGAATCTAGAATTCATCTTTGAGACTGTGAAGTCATTGGTATTTATAGAGCATCCTGTGTTGAGATTGTGATACTTTAAATACAAAAAGGAAAAATGTAATAGAACCACTTTGTTGAAGATGCTTATGATTTTCCTAACAATCTAATGTAATCTGGTACACATATATCAGTATTTTCATTATCTACAAAGAACAATTTATTTTTTAATGCATTTTTTTCTGAAATCTAATTGTCTTTGTATTTTAACGAGTTTCCTGTTACATATACCTTTTATACATGTAAATAAATTTTATACTAAGTAAATATTTATTGTTTGTTTCATCTAAACACTTCTACATATAATAGCATATGTGATTACAGGGATTAAATCTGAACAACACACTGCGTGTTTTCAAAACAGTGTTTACACCTTTACCTAGTGAGGCTAGCATTCTTTTTTTTGTTGTTTTTTTTTTCAAGTACCAGGAATCGAACTCACGACCTCGTGCTTGCCAGGCAGGTGCTGTGCCGCTGAGCTAAAGCCCCAGCCCCTGAGGGTAGCATTCTATTTAAACAATTTAGGTGGACTGGGAAGGTATTATTTTACTCCTTAAAGCTAAGTTTATTTCTCGGACCCATATCAATACGTGACTTAAAAATCAAAATATAGGGGCTGGGGATTTAGCTCAGCGGTACAGTGCATGCCTAGCAAGTGCAACGTCGTGAGTTCGTTTCCCAGTACTGGAAAAAAACAAACAAACAAGCCCAAACAAACAAAATATAATAATGTTATACTAGATTATAGAAGCAATATAGTACTTTTACCTTAAGAAAAATATACTAAGTAATACAAACATAAATAAATGTAAATTGATTTTTTTTGTAGGGGGCAGGGTTTAGAAAGGAACCCAGAGCCTATGCATGCTAGGCAACACCCCTAGCCCTGATTGCCCTGATCACTATTAAATATTACTTGCTACATGCCCCTGCCAGTGACACCTCCAAGCCTGATCATTATTAAATATCACATACTTCTAGTGAGGCATTTAGGCCACCTTAAAATTATTTTTCAATCTAAGTGAGTTATACATAAATGTTAACACTTATACTCCTTAAAGTTACTTTAAAGTTACTTTTTCAAGAAAGCAAAAGTTACTTTTTCAAGAAAATGAGAACACAAGCCTCAGACTGGGAAAAAATATTTGCCAAAGACACTCCTGATAAAGGCCTGCTATTCAACATATACAAAGACTACTCAGGAGCCACACGTGGTGGCACACACCTCTAATCCCAGTACTCTGGGAGGGTGAGGCAGAAGGATGGTAAATTAAAGCTTAGTCTGGATAATTTAGTAACTTAGCAAGACTCTCAAAATTTTAAAAATTAATATGGGAGGATGACCCAGGAGGATTGCAAGTTTGAGACCAGGCAGGGTAACTGAGCAACTTATGAGACCTTGTCTCAAAGTTTAAAAA